AAATTCAAAAGAAAAACACAAATGACAAGCTTTGAAGAGCCTGCAAACACTATAAAAGGTGAATTTGCAGCGCTTACTCAAGCCTTTAACAAGTCTCCCTCCTCCTCCATCCCCCCCCCACCCCTGTTGCTCTTGGACTCTCTTACCCTAGAGCAGTGGTTGGCAAACAGCAGTTCACAAGCCACATGCGGCTCAGGAGCCGCGGTTTGCCGTTCTGTTGACTAATGAGTTTGCTGACCACTGCCCTAGAGGAACTGCAGAACCAAACTATTGCCAGTGGATGTAATAATGAATTCTGAATTTTGACTCTACTAATCTGATGCCACAGTTATAAGTAAAACCAGAAGCTGTCCCCTGCCTTGTGGAGGCTCTTAGCTCCTACAGGAGCAGGTTCTGCTGCTGGATGTCTGTTGGCCATGCGAGACTGGCCACTAAATGGAAAAGGTCAGAGGAGCAATGATAAAATGATGCTTAGCACAAAGCTTTGTCCGAGTCCCTTTTAATTCAGGATATTATACCCTTTGTCTGCCTTTGCATTAAATTATTGAACTACAGTAGATTCAATGTTAAGCAAAGAAAGCAGGAATCTTCAAAAGTTGTACACACAGGACAAGAATGATCACATTAAAATGCATAGCACAAGAAACTGCTAACATTAACAATGATTGTCTCTAGGAGGGGGAACAATCTGGAAGGTGATATTTTTCTGCTTATTGACATTTATTTTGTATTTTCCAAAATTTCTAGAAGATGAGACACTTACTTCATAATAAGAAAACACAAACAAGTAGCAATCACAAACCCTGTGGCAGGGACAAGTGCAATTAGAGCTGGAGCTCAATGCTTGGTGAGGCTCCACAGGATACATTAACAGCTCCTATTGTTTGATGCAACATAACATAAAGGAAATTCCAAAAAGACCAGTGCATTGCTCCTAAAGCACATCCTGGCGTAGCCCGAGCCAGAGGGAAGAGATGCCTTAGCACGTGGGAAAATGGCAGGAAAGAGAGACACTGGAATAATAAAAAAAATAAAAAAAAAAAATAAAGAGGGTAAATCTGAGTCCTGGCCATGGGAACTCCACAAAGGGAGAAACAGGGAGGAGAATTTTCATATCAGATAAGCCTGAAGGAGACCAGAGAGGAGCAGAGTGGGCAACGGAATTCACAACCAGGGTCACCATAGCAGCCTTGGGCTATTGGACTTCACAGTGATGGGACTGGAACAACTGTGTAGTATGTGAAAGGCTCTGCCTGGAATGAAGCGGAAAGGCCCTCACTAGGGAAAATGCAGTTGGCCCCACAGACCACCTGTTCCGTGTTGGGATGGAGGGAGGGGGGATCAAGAGTAAGGCATGCTTGATGGATGATGACAATACTCTTTTTATATGCTCAAAATGTCCTCACAGGTTCACATATAGACTTTCTAGAATATCAGTGACACCCCACCTTAAGCTCCTAGGGCCAAACCCTCCTTTAAGCACTCCCACTGCTCTCCCACACACAGAGAGCCCAACCTATGACACACCCATGCTCCAAATTTACAGGGACAGTGCTAAAGAGTGGCTTGGGAGAGTTAGTTTTATCACCCTCCCTACTTAACATCTATTCTTTGATATAGACATTTTCTCAATCATATGCAAATGCAGCTTCAAGCCATCCTCTACCCAACCCCACTGCCATCCCCAAGACACTGCTTTGTAGAAATTCTTGTGTCTCCACTATATCGCCAGGAAGGTGACAACATTTTCAACTCTTAGTTTTATCTACCAAGGGGAAGAGCTGGTGTCCTGCCTGTTTAGTTCTGCCAGCCTGTGCCACTGCTCTGGTAGACAAGATGATCTTCCAAGGGCGTCAGTAATCTCTACCTACCAAGTCTCATGTGATTAATTTCATTCTCCTCTACTATGATCCAGCATTTTTCCATAGTGAAAAATATACTCTGCCAATAAAACATGCAAATATTTTGCTATCTGCACTTATGAAGACCCTACTCCATTTTATATGTGGACTTATTCAGGTAAATGACTCCTTAAAATGTCATGTTCATCCAGAACAATTCCCATGCCCTAAATGTTTTTCTTCTCCCAAATCTTTCAAAAGCTTTAAGTGGCCATTTTCAAGTGGTTTGCCATTCTCATCCCAAGTTCACAACACTCATCTACTCAGATCCTGTAACTGAGCAACTTAGAGGTGGCACTGAAAAGTTTCCCATTGCTTAGTGGTGCCTAGGAACTGATTTTGTTTTTTTCTGTATAGGAGACAGCCAACTTCACAGCTAATCCTCCAGCTGTCATATGGGTGAAAGGGGTCACATGTTCTCCCAGAACGCCACTGGGCTCCTCTGGGCAATCACGCCCTGCCCAGCTGTCTTTGAAAAACTTGAAGTTCTGTGAAAAACAGAAGAATCTTGTCAGACAAATGGGTGGATGCGACGCTGCAGAGATGCCACCACCAGGGCACTCATGTGGTGCTGGGCAGAAGGGCCTTCCATGACTTTGCAGAGGTGGGGCCTCCAAGGGTCAGGGTCAGATGTTCTTTCTTGTCCCAGCCTGATGTGTGTGTGTGTGTGTGTGTGTGTGTGTGTGTGTGTGTGTGTGTGTGTGTGTGTTTTAATTCCTAATCAGACAACTCCTTTAATAGGATTCACACTGCCAACCTCAACCTGTTTATGGATCCAGTAACCAAAATGTGTCATTTGAAATTCCCCCAAACCTTGAACCTCTAGGTCAAGATGGGGAATAGAGATGGCAAAGGTGAGCAATGTTGTCCGTGTTTGACACTCAGTGAGGCAATGCACATGACCTAACTAGAGATATTTCTGCTCTCTAAACAAAATCAGTTTTGCCACTGGTTCTACATGTGTTGCTGACTTAAACCTTCCTGGGTCTCAAGTGTCTCATCATTAAAAAGGTTGACATCTTTTTACTCTGAAAACTGGGAGACAAGGGCAAAACCTGGGCAGGAGCCACAGGTTGCATACCTGCCCTGCAATCGGTAACCCTGCCCTGACAGGCCTGAAGCTTATTAGCTTGAATCCCCCACTTCCTTCCCAGCCCCCCTCTTCCTGCTTCAGTTCAGCTCTTGTTGATCTATTGTTTGGCCCAGAGCAATGGTTCCAGCACCATCTCTGTGCCCTCAACCCAGTGATTCTCAACCAGGGAGCATTTTTGTTCTTCAGGGGACATCTAGCAATACATGGAGGCACTTTTGGTTGTCAAGACTGATGGGATACTACTGGCATCTACTGGGTGAAGCCAGGGGTACTGCTAAACATTGGACAAAGCACCAGCCTGCCCCCAACAAAGAATTATGCAGCTCAAAAGGTCAATACTTATGAGGTTGAGAAATAACTCCAGGCATACCCACCTCTCATCTACCCTCTGCCACCACATGATACAAAATACAATTCCAATCCAATCATTTCCATGCTTGAAATCCTCCAGTGCCCTCAGGTCAAAGTCTAAACTCTCCTACAAATCATGGAGACCATCATGATCTGGCCCTTTCCTAGCCTTGTGCCACACCTGAAACTGTTCCCCCAATCCTGTGGTCGGCAAACTGCGGCTTGTGAGCCACATGTGGCTCTTTGGCCCCTTGAGTATGGCTCTTCCACAAAATACCATGGCCTGGGTGAGTCTATTTTGAAGAAGTAGCATTAGAAGAAGGTTAAATTTTAAAAAAATTTGGCTCTCAAAAGAAATTTCAATTGTTATACCGTTGATATTTGGCTCTGTTGACTAATGACTTTGCCGACCACTGCCCTAATCCCTCTTCCCCAAGCCACAGGAGCAACCAACCCAGGTGGACCAGACCTCCCACAATTCCCTCTGCCTCTCAGGCTCACCCATTCATTCCTCTGCCCATCAATTCTATGTCAGACATTCTAATAGGACTAAAAGGGAACTAAAAAAAAAAAAAAAAAAAAAAAAAAAAGCTTTAATGGTTAGAGTTTTGTTTTTGTTTTTTTCCAGGAAAAGATTGATGAATTCTTTACCCTTCAGTGTGAATTAGTTGCTGCTATCTCTCCTCAAGTCTATTTGCATCCAATTCTATTATGAATTAAAAAGTTTTCCCCATGAAATAATTCTTGATATTAAGCTGTAGGTAAAGGAGATCTTTTGGGGACACAGTGACCTGCTCTTTTGAAACTTCCCAGGATCCAGATTTTAAATAATGTGTCTCTCTCACATTCTCTCTCTCTCTCTCTCTCTCTCTCTCTCTCTCTCTCTCTCTCTTTCTCTCTCTCTCACACACACACACACACACAATATAAATTAATTCAATAAATAAATAACTCATCTAATTCTTTTGTGTGTTTTTTTAAAGGAAATTAATAGGAGAGATTTGTCTCACAAGTACCAACAGCAAACAAATATGGTGAGATTATTTCTGGAATTAAGTTTCTAAAAGCACAAAATAAGAGGCCTAGAAGCACTTGTCTGATAGTCTTTTAAAAATATAACAACTTTTGGGTTGAAGTAGAGTCTACATATTTTAGCTTATATCAAAGCTGTCAGATAAGGACTTGTGGAAAAAGGAATAAAAGGTTGGAGAAATATGAAACAGAAAGGGGATAAGCAGTGTGGAGATACCTTTATACCCACTAATGCAATTGTGATTATAGTCAAAAACTTCACCATCCAATAGAGTTTTCAGCAATGATGAAAATGTTCTGAGTCTGTGCTGTCCAAGATGGTAGCCATTAGCCCCCACATGACTACTGAGCATTAGAAATCTAGCTACCATGGATAAAAAACTGAGTTTTTAATTTTAACTTCGTTTCAAATAGTTTTGTACTGATGAAATCTCTCCAGAAGAAATTGAAAGAACTCTCAATACAATGCAGTCTCCCAGCTGCAAACAGCTCATCTACCAAAAGCACAGATTCTAACTCACTCCAACCCCCACCCCAACCATTACCCAACATACTCAGAGGTGGGCCTCGCTCCCTCCTCCAGGGTAAGCCTCGAACGGTGGCCTCTGGAAAGGCGTACTTACCCTCACCCGGGGGAAGGTCCTCTTCCTGCTCGCTGGGGGCAGGCAGCAAGGGCTGCAGGGGCTCCATGTTAATAATGAGCTGTTTGTTCAAGGAGTGGGAACTGCGGCTCTGGGTAATGTTGGTTCTGAGAACAGACAAGCCAGATAGAGTTGGTTTCCATTGCAAACACCAGCCCTCCATCCCAGTCGGCTATGCACATCCTAGCTGGGAAATGCCTCTGGAATCACAATGGGCTGGGCTAGTGAAAGACAGTGTAACATTCAAGACACATAGCCCTTTTTATCCTTAAGGCCCTGACAAAGTGTCCATGTGTCCTAATGTATTTCCCCATGTGTCATCAGACTTGGGCATGCTAGGACTAGGTAACAACACAGAAAGATATCAAAAAGATATGGAAGGCAGATGTCACTAGACTGGGCACAGAAAAATGAATAAAGGGCATGGCTCAAACTAATTTAATAACCACCAAAAACAAAAACAAAACCTCTACAGGCAGGTGGCATAGATGTTCCATAGCTACAAGCTATTGTGTCACTGGACATCCAATTTTTTATTTTTTTAGTATATTTTATTGTTTTATACAGAGAGGAAGGGAGAGGCAAAGAGTTAGAAACACAGATGATAGAGAAATATCGATCAGCTGTCTCCTGCACATACTAGGGATGTGCCCGCAGCCAAGATACATGCCCTTGACCGGAATCAAACCTGGGACCCTTCAGTCTGTAGGCTGATGCTCTATCCACTGAGCAAAACCAGTTAGGGCTGGACATCCAATGTTTAATATCAATGTTTAACATCCCCATTGAAATTCATGCCCCAGTCACCAACCAGCCACAGAAAGCAGCTGTTTCCCTTTCTCCTTTTGAAAGGAGCACGCACCTGTGCCAGTGGTTGTGACAAGCAGCAGATGGCAGGGCAACCATGCAGGTGTCTCATCAAGACTACTGGCTGGAAGCTGGGAAGCCCATTTGCACTGCCTGCTGCGGAGGACCTGCTGTCTAGCCTGACAGAGAGGGAGGTAGGGCACGTATGGTGGTGCTTAAGCACCTTTCCTCTCCCCATGTTCCCTGTCAAAACCAGAACCAGCCCAGCCAGAGAATCAGGAGGTCATGGTTGGATTCCCAGTCATGGCACATGCATAGTTTGTGGGCTTAGTCCCCGGTAGGAAGCTTGCAAGAAGCAGGTGATCAATGATTCTCTCTCTACATTGATGTTTCTATCCCTGTGTCCCTCTTCCTTCCTCTTTCTGAAATCAGTAAAAAACAAAACAAAACAAAACAAAAAAAAAAAACCCATCCTTCAAATATGATATCAAATGTCTCCTTCCCCTTAACACACTCCGGGATTGGCCTCACAACACACTCTTTCTCCTTCTCTGTTCACTGGACTCTCCCTTTACAATCCACCACGTTGGTCACTTCTGACTTTGTGATTATGCTTGTACACATCAGAATGAGCCTCACCTTGATAAACAACATCAGGGCAGAGAGTTCCCTATTCATTCGCCTTACAGCACCTTCATGGGCAGCCTGAAGGGTGTTCAGGTTTGAAACAACTGCAATCCTGGCTTAATATAACTGCCATCTCAGACTGACCAGAGTGTCTATCCCAGGCCAGTTGATGGGACTGCCTGATACCTCGGAAGGTGTTTCCATAGGGAGTGGGGGATAGGGGCATCAGGGAAGATAAGGGCCCAGCCAGGAGATGCCACAGCCTTGCCTCACATGCATCCTGCTTACTCATGTTGACAATCAAAGGTCCAGTCAAGTCAATGGCTCTCCACAGAGCAAATAACTCAAAACAGAGCCCAGCTGTGCTCTTGCCACGGCCCAGCCATGTCTGTCTGAGAGGGATTCCAGGGCAGTGAGAGCACCATGCCTGGAACCAGGGCCAAAACACAGCATAGGGCCTAGCAGCGAGCCCTTACACCCTTCTTGTCACTTGGCAAAGCCGGTGTTTAAATCCCTCTGTCCATAACAGAAGCCTCCCGAGGACTGGGGAGCACCCACTCACCTGTGCACCTCTGGAGGCTCCCTCTGGATTCTGGAACTCGCCTCCACCACCTCTTTGGCAACCTTTCCGCTGCAAAAGACAAAACACCTGTCTCTGCACAGGCACTCAGCATGGGAGGCAAAAGCTATGAGCATGCATTTTCTTTAAACTTTACAACCTCAACTGCCTGGCCCAGCTCTAGAAGCCCCCGCCTTCTCTCCCTCCACACGGGGAAGTCATTATGACATTGGAGAGTGCCCATGAGCATAAAAGATGGGTGAAGTGGAAAAGGGGAACTGAAACAGGGGCATAAGTCCAAGTGAACTGATTCATAAGCAAAACATCCAAATGCCAATGCCTGCCCCCACACCAACCCCATCATCAAAATGGAGCCCTGGGGACCCACCTGTATCGGAATCTACTTCCTTTAAAAAAGATCTTGCTGCTGGACACAGTCTTGATCTGACTGGACTTGGCATACCTTTAAGAGAAAGCAAAGCAGTGGCAGTGACATAGGGAAGCCCAAGTAGAAACATTTGACATGAAGTGTAGCTATGGGATACTTTGACTGCCAGGAAGAAATACACTTTATAGTATGATTCGACACATGCACGCACACACACAAACATGAAGGAAAAGTTTCACAGAAGAACTGACAACTCTCACAGTATTTGCAAGCTCATCTTTTCTATGTTCTCTCTTCATTCTTGTTAAATGTTGGTGATCACACACACACACACACACACACACACACACACACACACACACACCTGTTACCACCTCCCCAGTTTAGCAGGACCTGGCCTTAGGCTGTCTCTGTTAGGGATTTGTGTCTTTATCCTCAAAACAAGAGAAAACTTTAGTTACAGTCTTGAGCCAAAAAGAACTTCTCCCTCCACCTCTGCAGACAGCCTCAGCCAGTTTCAAAGGATGAGTAGGGAGAGCGAGGTGGACAGCAGAGGGGATGCAGGCCTGCGGAGGGGGCTCCTGTCAAGGCAGAGCGCAGACAACATGGAGTAGAAGCCCCCAGGACAGATAAGACCAAGTGAGAGCTACACCCCAGACCTAACACCTGGGACAGACCTGCTGGCTGCTGGTCAGGGCTGGGTGACAGCCACACCTGGTAAAGAGGAGAAACGTCTCCAGGAGGCTGGCTTAATGGAAAATGTCCTGCTAAGCCTCTTCCTCATGTAAGGACACACCTGCTCTGGGCCCCTCTGCCTCCTCCATCCCTAAAGAACTGTGGGTGGCCTGGCATTTTCCAGTGGCCTGAGAAAGGGCCATCACCACCTCTCTCTCAGCAGGATTGTTGCTCCCAAGTCCTCAGCAGTAGAGGGAAGAGAAACTTTTCAAGAGCGACTGTGTTTTGTTTTGTTTTTTTCTCATTGATTTTGTTGCTGCTGTTAGTGTTTACCTAGGCTCTTAGTCTGCTAAAAAGATCAAGAGCCTTCACTGGAGTATCTGAAATTCAAACTCAGCTCTCTGCCCAGGTATAGAGGACACCAAGCCCCCAGGTGTGGCAGGCACAGCAGCTCCAGTGACCCTGCTCTGGAGAGAGGTGGGCGGCCCTGCTTTCCACTGGTTCAACCTCAGCTCCCACCGTCCCAGGCCCCTCAGCAAGGCCGCCGCCTTCTCCTTATACCCAGACAGGCGGGAGGCCGCTGAGCTGCATGGTACATAAACCCTCAAAGTGCTTCGAGAAAACAGGTCAAAAGACACATTTTGTGGAGAAAGTGCATCCCTGTCTGCGCAGGATGAGGGGAGGGTAGAATGTGTTGGCCTTTTTCTGGCAGCTGGTGGCCCTGGGTGATTATTGGTGTCACTTGATTTGCTCAGAGACACCCTCCCAAGAGCACTACCGCCAACCTTCCTCCACAAGTGCCCCGGTGGCTCCCGATAACGTTTGGGTTGAGACCTTCCCTGGGAATGTATCTGAGAGCCTGAGCAGCACAAACTCACTGGGAGCTGGAAGACACAGACAGTGGATGGAAGGATGAGGATGCAGAAAGAGAAAGTTGGACTTGTCTCAGACTTGCCGGGAGGGATTCAAACACTGTTCCTAGACCCCATGACTACAGTCCCACTCAGTGGGTCAGAAGAGGGGCCGGCAGTTTGCATTGCTATCAAACACCCTAGGCCATGCCAAGGCTACCCATTGGCATTTAAGAACCTCTGAGTTCCCACATTGTCCTTAAATGACCCAAGAGGTGGCATTTTACTTGGAAGAGCAGAGGCCCAGCTTCCTACCTGCTTCTGGTCCTGTGTCCCAAATCAAGCTAAGTCTTTCTGAGTCCCAGTTTTCCCCAAATATTTTTAAGGGGGGGGTATTGTAAACCTAATTCATAGAATTCTGAAGAGGATGAAATGAGATTTAATGATTTGAAAGCACCTAGCATACAATCTGCTCACTATACAGGGGTGGGCAAAAGTAGGCTTATAGTTTGGAGTGCACCAAACACAGTTTATTCTTATATAATTTTCCATACAAACAACCTAATTTTGCCCCACCCTGTATACCTAATTTTGCCCCACCCTGTATAATAGTTTCTGTCCCTCTCTGCCTCCCACCTACCTCCCTGTCCCTCTAATATCACCTCAAACCCTCTCCATTGCCTTCTCACTATGAAGCTACCAAAGCCAATTCTCTAAATCATGGAAGTTCCTGGGAGCCGTGTCAAACACCCCGGACGCTAGTGAAAGCGCCTTCATTCTCTGACTCGCTGATGTGTCCCAGCACTCTGCCTCCCAGGCTCTCACGTCAATAAGCCCAGAGCCAAAGTCTTCTTCCCACTGAAGGCACTACCGAGTTAAAGTAGCAGTTCTCTCGCCTCCAGCCTTCTTACCCACCTGCCTTCTCCCACTTCCGCCTCCACCTTCCAATGAAACCCTAGCATAGAAGCATTGACTCTTCTCAAACATCTGACCTCACAGAGCAGTCCAGACCATCCCCAGTTTACCTGACTTGACAAGAACTGTGAGTTCAAATGGTGGCCTGGTCATGACTTAACCTTTCAGCTGTCACAGCTCTTTACCACCCCCATCCCCAGATCTGCCAGGGCAGCCACAGGACCCAGAGACCCATGGCCCTGGGGATTTGCCAGCCCAGCCCTGCCTTTGAAGTGCGTTTTAAATTATGTAATGGATGTGAGATGCGCCATGCACGTGGACATTGCCTGGAGCGTGCAGTGTTTGCTACGTGTCGGCATCATATGGTACATGCAGAGCAGCCCTGCAGGAGCACACTCCCCTCGCCCTGCCTCTAACTTTTCTCCTCTGGCACCTGCTGCTGCACAGGCTGGGCATGGAGATCTGGTGCTTGGGAGACAATGGGCGGTGCCCTAAGAGGCATCCTCTAGAATTAATAACACAATTTCCCATTTTTACATGTTTTACAATTTCTGGAGTAACCATAACAATAACAACATGTTATTATTGAGCACCTACTATGGACTGTGCACCATCCAAAGCACCTTAAACATATTAATTTATTTTGTGCCACAGCTCTCTCCTAGGAGGAAACAATCTACATTTTTACAGGATGAAATTGAGGCACAGACGGGTTGTCACTTAACTATGGTCACATGACAGAAGCAGGAGAAATCAGGTTGCAAAACCAAGTCTCCCTGTATTTTTTAAATAATGCTTTAGCCATGCAGGTTCTCAGACTTCAAGGGGCATCAGAACCACCTGGCAGGCTTCAGAAAACACAAGTTTCAGATTCCGTAAGTCTAAGTGGAGCCCAGGAATGCATTTCTAACACTACTTTGAGAATCACTTCATTTGAGCCCTTAACCCTAGATTGCATGTTTGTACCACGTGGGAAATTTTTATCACTACCAACATCTAGACCCCTCACCCATTTCTGAATTTTTCAAATAACAGTTTTTTCAAGATATAATTCACATACCATAAGGTTTACCCTTTTAGATTGTACACTTCAGTGGTGTACAGTATAATTCACAAAGCTAAATACTCATCAAGAAATACTTTTATCACCCCAAAAAGAATTGTCCCATATCCACTGGCAATCACTCCCTGTTTCCCTTCCATGCCAATCACTTCCTGTTTCCCTTCCATGCCAGCACAGTGCATTGCACAAAGCACCTAGAAAACACATGGCATAAAGGAAGCTCTGAAATGTGACTAAGTCTGTGTCAGGAAACCCGGCTGCTTTGAAGCAGGGGGAAAAGTCAGAGTTTCTGCTTCTGGGCTCTATTCCCAGCAGCAGAGCCCAGAGCCAGGGCTTTCAAACCTCATCGGTGGTCCCTGGCCAGTGGACAATGAGCAGCGCATTCATGAGGTGAAAGCACACTTAGGAATTCTTGGCCACTGGGCCTCCCTCTTCCCATGGCAGGTGAAGTGGAAAGGAAGGACAAACACCCCAATCCAGGAAACAAGACCAAGGCCTTGCTCTGCCAGCCAAACCATTAGAGCACAATGCCCATGGGGCAGGCTGGAAGCGGGGCCAGGACTTCTGCCCGGAAAGGAGATGGTGCTATGGAGGAAGCAGGTGCCCTCCCTGAGGTTAACAGAATAAAAGCCCTTCAGAATCAAACAGACTGGGCTCTGCAATCAACTGGCACTCTAGAAGCTTCCATTGCTAATGGAGGGGGTAGTAGTGTAGTCACAGCAGCTGCCATCATGTATCGATAGTTCATGTGCCTGGCAAAACCAAACACTGCAAGGCAGGTATTACCTATCACACTTCACAGATGAAAAATAAAGATGAGGCTCAAAGAGTTCAAGTGCTTTGCTCCATGCCATACTACTAGGAAGCGACAGAGACAAGATTTAAACCCAAGAAGCCCACACTCGTTAACACAGAGCCACAGTGAGAGAAGCAAAGCAGGCCTGAGTCCTGCCCTTCCAGTATGCAGATGAGAAGGCTGGGCCAGAGAGGTCACACAGCTGGCTCAGAATAAGCAACATCTTTCCTTCTTCCTAAGGAACAGGGATGGTTACAGGATGATGGAACAACAAAAGCTTCTAGGAAATCTCAGGTCAGTAAATATACTAGAGATTAGGAGTCCTAGTAATTGAGAGGGGCAGCCTGGCCTAACACCAGCAGAGGTGCTGATGTAAAGACTTGGTCAACTCTGCTCAGCTACACCCCGGCCACCTGAAGCATGCACAGCTGACTAGAAGTGACTTCTCTGACAAGCCTAGTTGGCCCATTCAATGGCAGAATTGTAAGACAGACCTCACTGCTTGATGCCAGGTAATGACTGTACCCCAACATGTGCAAAACAGATTTCCCAGACTGGAGTTTCTACTCTCCTCTCCTTCTCCCTCTTTTCTCCATTCAGTTCTGGTTTTGCCTTTGACTCTATCAAAGAACTGAATCTCTCACACAGGATAAAATAGCATGTGTGCAAAACAATCAATTAAAGTCTTGAGTTATTCCTTGATAGACATCCCATGATTGCACCAAAGGATCTTCAAGGCTGTGCTGCTTCCAAGTAGGACTTTGTGACTTGGCTCTAAAAGCCTATCTGCTGGGGATTCTCTGCTGCTCCCTCCCCTTCCCTTACACTTGTCTGTGGGTCAGTAGCAATCAACCCAACCTACATTCCTCTGGCACCTCATTCATGATGGCTGAGTCCTCTGTATCTGGCTCCAAGATCTCCTGGCCTTTCATCACCTCCCTTTCTATTTCATTCATCTATCCTATGTTCCAGCCTTATGTAACTACTCATCCTCTGGATGCACGTCTTCCCATCTCCACCATGCTCCCTTACTCAGAATATCCTCCCCCAACTTAAAGAGCCTTCCTTCCATAGTAAGACTCAACCCTCCTGGACTCCCCTCTAGCATTTTATTTGCATTTCCTTTTCAGTCTGCATCATGAACTACAAATCTCCTGGCACAGGAACCATATCTTATCAATTTGATTCATTAATTCTTTTTTAAAATATATTTTATTGATTTTTTTTTTTTACAGAGAGGAAGAGAGAGGGATAGAGAATTAGAAACATCGATGAGAGAGAATCATCGATCAGCTGCCTCTTGCACACCCCCTACTGGGGATGTGCCCACAACCAAGGTATATGCCCTTGACTGGAATCAAATCTGGGACCTTTCAGTCCTCAGGCTGACGCTCTATCCAATGAGCCAAACCGGTTCCAGCCATTAATTCTTTGAATACTGGGGGTCTTTGGGAATACAAAGATAAATAGAACTTAGTTCCTATCATCAGAGAGATCAGATCTAATACAGATATAAAATATACAAACAAATGTCATGATATATCTTTATTTTTTCATCCTATTTTGGCTGTGTTTCAAAACTATCTATTAACTCCCTCATCTGCAAGAAAATATCCATTCAAAAATAATAGCTAAGTGTCTCTCAATTATTATTTGACAGGAACTAGATGATTTCAATAACAGATGAATAGAGGAGTTCCAAAAGCTTAGGCCCCAAAAACAGTTTGTCAAGTTCTCAAAAAGTTAATTAAGAGTTTTCCTAGGACCCCAAAGTTACATTCCAGGTATAAACCTGAGAGAACTGTCCACAGAAAAAAAATTACATGAATTTTTTTCCAGTTGTGAGAGTACATTCAACCCAAGCTGAGAGTAAGCCAGAAGTGCCAGAGAGTATAACTCCACCCTCCAGAGTGGCCCTTGAGCAAGATGAGTGAAGAATTGATAGATAAACAGTGCAGCATCTTTGCAGGTCAGTGGGTGAAATTTGATGTCTGTTCTGCAGTCTGCCAGAGCTCCACTGCAGAGCAGAGCCCAGTTGCCCACAGGGTGACCTGCTCAGTAGCACCCTCCTACATGGCTTGCTTTCCCACCTCCCTTTCCCACTCCCCATTGGTATGCTTAGTGACCATATCCCAGAAAAACCACTTGCACTAAACTCCTCTCAAGGTCTGTTTCTGAGCAAGAAAACCAACCAAATATAGGTTCGATTACACGTTGAATGGAAATAGCAATGACAAAACATCAAGCAACCCATAGCAATTCTATGGGAAACACCAGGCCACAGTGGAGCTCAGGACTTGCTCGGGCCAACCGTGATAGGCGACACCCTGGACAATGCACCAAATTCATTATTCACTTAAATATAATAAGAAGGACTACATTAAAGGAAATGAACATGGAACTATTTGCAAAACATAATGGGTTCCGTGGGTGTTTTAAAGCCTAAAATTAAAAGAATAAAAACTACTTACTTATAAAAGGCCTGGTTCTCCACCCCACACTTCCAAAGATGTTTGCAGGCAGCTGGTGTTGAGGTATGGAATGCCAGCATGGCTTTTTTCTAATAAAAAAAATAACAATAAAAAGGCATGTTAAACAGTTTTTTTTTTTCTTCTTCAAGTAGCTTGCGTATTACTATGCACTTGAAAGTATTGGTGAAATGGTATTATTCCCCACTTTGCAGACATCAATAATCTGTTTAGGCCCTGTTTCTGATAAAAAGCAGCCTCACACTCTTTAAGGCATTGCTTACCTCTCAATCAGGCTTGGATTAGTTTAAAAAAATGTATTTGCCCACCTTGAACAACTAGTGCTTGGACTGAAAACTAGGGTCAGGAGATTCTGCAAACCTCCAGATATAGCTCTGGGCTCAGAGTTTCAGTGCTGGCCTCCTCCCAAATGTGTTCCCTGGTAAACACAACCTATGTCTGGTGACTCCTGTATTTTAAGATTCATGGATCTTAAAGACTTTGTTTATAAAACTCTAACCATCATGGTTGTTACAAGCTTTGTAAGTATTCTTCAGTCTCATGAATCGATATTTTGGCAAATTACAGAGGCAGGGGGAAATCCAATTGCTAAATCTCAAGTCTATCCCAGTCTATTTTTTACACAGGGGTACTCACTCAGCATTGTTTATTGGCTTTATTCTTAAATTAGAGGTTCAGTGCACACATTGTGCACATTGAAAGGAAATTAATTAGAACTAATTTAATATCTCTATTACCTTTTCTATATAATAGAAGTGCCAACCAAATTCACAATTGACAATGACAGTTCAAAACACATACGTAAGATTGGCACTAGCAAGAACTTTATATGTATCATGCATGCGTGAGTCTACTTAGCTTTTTAAAGATATAGAATAAACTTGCTTAATTAGACCTGTTTTCTGATTTAGCTAAACATTTTCCATCCCAGTGAAGCACCCCAACTTCTCTTACAGGTAATTGAGAGCAACACAGCAGTAAATATCAACACGAAGCAGATTGTTATTGTAGATCATGCAGGGAGAACAAAGAGTAAAATATTTAACTGCAGCAGTGTTTGACTATATTCTGCACAGTGAGAAAACCTGAAGTCATTTTCCAAGGTCCACCATTTCTTACTCCTTTTCAGTTGAGTCAGTTTCTAAGCTTTCTAAATCTCTATTTTCCAGCTAATGAGAAGAAAATAGAATTCCATTTAATCTCCTATCTACCTACTCTAGGACTTCTATGAGGATCAAATGAGATGAGGCATGGGAAAATGTTCACAGACATTTGGTTACAGTGTAAAGTGTTTCCATCTGGCTATAAAGCAAGCCATGCTCCTGGGCTGAAGAAATAACAAGGAGGCTAGTTGCTAGGGAGAGGAAGCTAGCATTGCTATGTGACATCATTATTCAGTCTGTCGGACCCTTAACATATTAGCCTATATATATATATATATATATATATATATATATATATATATATGCTGTCTAGTTCTATTTCCAGAGCTCAAGCAATTCAAAACCTATGAATTTAACATCCTAGATTACCCATATATATATATATACCCAATGTTTGTTTACCTCTCAAATATTCTCAGCATATAGCTTCCATTATCACCACACACAAAAAAAAGTCATGATCTTTGGGGGCTATAATGCCAAAGGCATATCTTATGCTTGAATCTCTCTCATGGGCATGCACATGCACACTCATATTCACACTCACACAATAACAGAGCTAGAAAAGCAGTATCTGACCTCCTTCTGGGTGCCAATCACATAAAATGTCTTCCCTTCAAACTTCAATTTGCAGACATCTGGCCTAAGAAAAGAAAATCTCTTTGGGTGAGAAGGCAAATAAAGTAGCAACTGACCCAGGTACCTGGTTTTCCCACAGGAGTGCTGCTGTCTCACAAATGCCAAGCAGACTGCACTGAAACAAGACATTATCTGACCATCGGTGAAGACCCAATGAGCAGGGAAAAGCCCCGAGTGAATTATACATCAATGTTCTTCCCAAGAGAATATCCCCAAGCAGCTCAGAACTAGTTATTCCATTTTTTACAGGTGAGCTGCACCATACTTCCAAGGAGCTCTCGCGGTCCCACAAACATGAACGACCCTAGCAATATGAAGGGGCCAGCCCACTGTGTGAGGCGGGAAGGATGTGGTTATTTCAGATTCAGTTAATGAAATGACATGGATGCACAATATCTGTTCCCTCATCCATCTCAAAGAAGCACACACGCCACACCGTGAAATTCTCATTCCTGTTCTCCCTGTTTATAGAAGTGTATTTCATCATATATTGAGACACTTAGAATTGGGAGGCAGTTTGATGAATGGGAATCTGAAAGAGCTGCTTGATTAAAATCTGCTGAAATGTAGACCCCAGATCACCTCCTTGGTGAGAAAATATGTGCGAAGAGAAGAGAGGAATCTATTTTTATTCCTTTGATCTCATTCTTCAGATAGTAATATAGGCCCCCCTGCTTCTCCTGGGGAGGGCACATTAAGATGTTTTAATTTAGGTAGAGGATTTTCAAGGGTGACAAAATGGATGTTTAAAAAACAAAGAAAAAAATACACAAAGATTAACATGAAAAAATTTGTTTCAGTAACAATGCATAGCTGTTAGAAAGACATGTGCCTAGCAGAGGCTGGGAAGAATAAAGTTGGCATCAGTACCCACCAGGAGGTAGAACCCAGAAACAAATGATTGTCCTCTCAACTCTTCAATGTACAGGAAAACAGGTCCAAAGAAGGGAGCGTCTTGCAATAAATCTGCACTTGAAATGTGTCTAGTTCTATTTCCAGAGCTCAAGCAATTCAAAACCCATGAATTTAACATCCTAGATTACCCATGCTTCCCAAAGTCAGTAGGGAACTTATTCTGGAACATTGTTGAAAGTATGACTATAGTAAAAGGCTACCACAGACAGGACAAGGAAGACAGAGAAATTGGGCACCTTAGAAAGAGAAGGATGATCATGACAAAGAGCAGAAGGTAGAACGAGAGGAGTGGGCATTAGCTGATTAATGTTAATCTAGGAAGAGTTTGAAAGGAAGGGGGCACCAATAGGAGAAGATGGGAAGGGCTACTTTATAAAGAGGTGCTAAAGGAAATTCTGAAGCCATAGAACTATGTACTGAAGTTCAGGCAAGTGCAAGAGAGCATTTCCAACCCAGGACCGAGGATGGATGCCCACTGGCCATCAAGAAAACTTCAGATTCAAGTGCTCAAACCAAAGGAGTGAGCCTGCCACCCAGAGACACACAGCAGGAGTGACATACCTATCAGGGACCATCAGAGAGGGAACTGAATTGAGCTGAAGATATGAACAAGACTAAGCTTTTCCAATATTCCATCACACATATAATGTTAAGCCTTCTCCACTCTTCACCAAAACCATTTTGCTCTCTGACTGGAGAAAGTGGGTGCTGCGGGTCACCTGCCCCGCTCCATCCTTCCACTTATTTACTGACATAATCTAGGCTTTATTCTTCCTCAAGGTCATTTGTCCATGCAGATCCTGCTTTTCTCAGTCCCAAGCAGGTGAATCTTGATTTGACCACCTTTCTTCTGGGAAGGATTGGTTTAAGTAGGCACATGCAACCCAATCTTGCCCAATGGATACACAGAAAGTCTCCTACAGGACTTCTGAAAAGGTTTTCCTTGCATTAATAGCAGACATGTGGAAGGCCGCTCTCCTCCAGTCTTGGGTGCTGCTGTGTGAAGATATAAAGGCCACAGTTGCACACGCTGCCATGCCATTTTATGAGCCTGGAGACAAAAACTACTTCTCTGTAATGGAAAAGAAGAAAATAGAAAGACCCAAGTCCTACATAATGTTGTTGAGCAGTTAAAGGATCAAGGAACTGTCCAATCTCTATATCTTACTATGTGAGCTAATCAGTCCTCTTATTTGTAAGCTAATGAGAGCAGCCATTGCTGTTGCTCTGACCAAAAGCATTTTCACTGAAACACTGGATAACAGAAGGTAAGTCTGCAGCAGGATTCAACAGAACAGAGAAAAGTGAATGGGAGGGGCTGGATCCCAAGTTGCTCAGAGGAACTTGAAAGTTTACTGGCCCTGACCTACACCTGGTCAGTAAAGAAGCTACTGGTATGGAAACAATGGACACCTTCTCTCTGGAGGCAGATACATCACAGGTCCTCTGAGTGGACACCTTAGGTGGACAAATACAATTTCCTCCTAAGACAGGGCAACTAGAATGGGTTTCATTTATAGATAGCAAATCCCTTTGTAATGAGGTTCCAAGGCAAAGAAATGAATACCAGGTACTCTATCTGACATTAAAAAAAATAAAAAGTCAAAGGTGGGGAATTAAAGACAAGATTAAGAAAAATGATAAGCCAGTTTTCCAAAGAAGCACTCACCATTTTATCAAATGGATTCTCTTATTTCCCTGAAATACTACAAAGCCTGCAGCAGTGAATCCCAAAAATGTGGTTGTGCCTGTTGAATCCTGAAAAAAAAGAGAAACATTTACATTGAGGAATATAAAATATATATATATATATATATATATATATATATATATATATATATATAACCCTAATATGCAACTAGACTAAACCTGAATGACGGAACAACCAAACAACTGAACAGCCAAACAGTGGGTCGCTATGACATGTGTTGACCACCAGAGGTGAGTGTGGAACATGGTGGCTGTTGGCAGCAGGCAACAAAGTCTGGAACATGGCAAATGTTGGCCATGGCAGGATGATGGAGCAGTAAGTGGGGGTGCCAGACCAAGGCGGGGCACCGGTTGCTGTCATAGGAGTGAGTCTCTGGTGGTTACTGAAAATTCTTTGCTCCCATGAGCCACAGTCCCACCTGGAGCTTGCTCCTGCTACCAGTGCTGGCCCCAATCACTTGGCATCATCATTGGGTGCAAGAGGTGGATGCAGGCTCTGAGGGCTTCTCCACCTCCCCCTGCTCTTGAGGGGTAATCAGGACAGAAGCTGCCACTCACACTCACTGACGGCGCCAGCCCCCCTCTCACCCACTGCTGGCACCAGCTCCATACTGTGTGGAGCTGGTGCCAGCAGGTGTGAGCAGCAGTTGCAGGAGTGGGGCTGCTGGCAGACAGGGGCCCCAAGGGAAGGAGGGACACAGCAGGAGGGGCCAAGACCCGCCTCTGTGCCCACTACAACCTCACAGCCCACAGTTCCTTTTAAGGTGCACAAATTTTTGCACTGGGCCTCTAGTAAATGATAAGTGATATGCTTAGTCATCCTCACCCTGGGTTTATTTCAGGTTAATTCTAATGATTGTAATAATAAACTGAGTTTCTGAAATGGGATTTAAAAGAGTATTTCTAAAATCTGGGTGAGGTCCAGAAATGTGTAGCTTTTCCCTTTGAGGAACAGACCCTCTGTCTCTTCAGGAACCTCCTGGGAAAGTATGGATTAGCCCTAAACCACTGTGTATCTACTTCCAAATGCCTTCTGGGCCGCCTGAGTTCTCAAATCTTCCCTGTAATGTGGACAAACTGTTCTTGGTTGTCATTATCCCCGAAACCAAAGATGGTATGAAACCAAAGCCCTGAGCATCTAATTGAGTTGATTCAATCCTACACAGGATTTCTAGCAATTTTCATATAAAGATATTTCCTACTTCACTTCCAGGAAAACTAAGCATTAATAAATAAAGGCAAAGGAACAACAAGTTTAGTTGGTCTCCAAATAATAAATAAACAGAGAGGCTCAGATTTGTGGATAAAACCTAATTCACTAAATGAAATAATCTGATTTATACCAAGACTAGGAGGCATCTGGCAAATATCCTAAAATATCTGTGTGGGGAGACCATAAGATGCATGTGTCAATATGGACAATCACTACCGGCTCTCTGCCTCAGCTACATGTTGGAATCCTCTGGAGAGCTGGGTCTGTAGCCCCAAAAGATCCTGATGGAACCAGGCAACAAGAGCTTAGGAAGCTCCCCACCTGCCTGTAATGAGAAGCCTGAGACTAGAGCTATAGGACTATGGCACTTGACCAAATACAACTATCTGTTCCCATCTGAGTCAAGAAATGTTCTGCTAAGACTCAAAAATTACCTTTAAGAGCTTGCCATACATACATGCTTAGTTTAGGATTTGGGTTAGTGCAGGTTAATGCATACTTAGTTTAACATATGGAAACTAAAACCAAGCCTTCTCATAAAACATTTCTGGAAAATGTGTGCATGAGCATCACCTTGGGAACTTGTTTAAAAGGCTGACTCACCAGCTGCATCCCAGCGATTTTGCATCAGTGGCTCTGGGATGGGCCCAGGTAATTCTGATACACTTGGTCTGGGTTTCATGCTTGAGGGAGAGACTGTCAAGTAATAGGAGTAAAGGAAAAGGAAAAACAAATTCCCCTGATATGAAAGTATAATTGTAAATCTTTTCTTTTGCTTTCTTAATTTTTTAAGATTGCATTCTTGCTGGCATCAGCTTTGAAAATAAATGTTAGGATCCTTTCTTTACCCAGATGGGACTTGATAGTAAGTCCTAAATGTTGAGACTTCTCAGGGGTAAAACCATCCACTTGATAGGTGAATGAATCCATGTATGTGCATTTAGGAATTTGTGGCTACTACACAGCAATTAGAAAAATTTGTTAGAGTCCAGTGGCAAGAACCAACAGCAGGAGCCAACTACCAAAACATGTGACTGCAGACCTTCCAATTAGGTGTTGTGGGTTAGGCTGTGGAAATATCCTAGAAGGGGTCTGCCAGGCATACACAACAATTAACTCTTTGGGGGTAAAATAATCTTTAAATATCAACCTGTGAGGGGCAGTTACCTTGCATGGGTGAGGATCTACCCCGTAGGTTTCCAAAGTGTGAGCTTTCAGGAGTAAGTTAAATTCAGCAACCGGCGGGCTCTGGCCTCTAAAATCACAACACACAAATTAGGGAGTTAATATGTAAAGTAACAGAAACATGGAGTCCCTCCATTCCATAAAATGTGATATCCTAAACTAAATAAAGAGCAAAATTCCTGCACAAATAATCATCAGTCAGACTGATCATCATTCCTCCCCGAGAGGAGCCCTCTGCCAAGGAATCTGAGCTCTTGCTCCCTGGCTGATGGCTCCCTTATAAACCCGCAAGCACTCAGAGGACACCCGTGACTGTACACTTAATCAAGGTTATCAAGTTACCAATAAGTAGGCCCTTGGAAATGCAATCTTACTATGAAATAAAACGCAGCATCTGTTCTTTCCAACTTACTTAAAAAGATTACCGGGGTAAGTGACATTCCTTCTTGCTCAGGGTAGAAAGTGGCAATCCCGTCACCCCATCAACAAGGCTAAACAGAGCCATCTGAGTAAGAAAGAACCATCAACCGTTCTACTGGAAAGCCCTGGATTTTGAAAGGAAATCTCAGCCACTAGTCCCAGCACTATCCTCCAGGGCGGTACACAAGGTCTTGGCCTCAAGGGTAGAAGAGGGCTACAAAGAGAGATGCTGTGAAAAGCCTCTTGGGGATGACTTCCATACTAGGACTATGCAGCATTCAAGACTCTTTGGCTGACATTAATGTCCCACGTGTATCTTAGAGCATCTGAACTATTCCCCAAGGGTGAGTATATAACTCTAACCACCAAGAGGAGTGCGCTATAGAAAACAACAGGGATCTTTTTTCTTTTCAAACGGTAAAACTTAGCGATACATATAAAGTACATTTATAAAAGCAAGAGGAGAGAATGAATAACCCCCAGTTTAGCATAGTGTGCAAAAGGGAGGGAGGTGACCTGGGAGGGACACAGAGGAGACTTCAAAGCATCTGGTAACATTCCAATTCATAAGCAGAGTTAGGGTCATGGGTATTTCTCCAAATACTTTTTAAATTATACATATATTACATACACGGTCTTATATAGTCTCTTATGTGTTATGTATTTTGCAATTATTAAATAAAACAGCTCCTGGCTTTTAAATAAAAGAATTACTGGATGAAATATTATGTAATCTAAGAGCACACTGAACTAAACAGAATTAATCAGGATTATAAGAAATATATGTGCAGAGCTGTCTTTCATTAAACCCTACTGATCCAACCAACATATAATTGTTTCTATTACCAAGCAATATATCTTTTTTTTCACCTATTTATAAAGGAGGAATTCTTTTATAAAAAAAATATATTTTTTTGTGTTGATTTCAGAAAGGAAGAGAGTGGAAAAGCAAGACAGAAACATCAATGATGAGAGAGAAATCATTGACTGCTTTGGGTTTGCCTGCAGAGCTATTAAATGTTTGGCTAAGCATTTAAAAGATTTAATCTAAAAAGTCACACACAGAGAAAGGCCAACTACAAATGTTCAGAGAAGGGGGGTTCAAAGCCAAAGGAGGAAAGGTGGACACCCAATAGCACTAGAAACTCTCATGTCCCCTGCACTCACTGAGGAAGAACACATTTAATGATCAGGTTTTCAGGAAGATGCTAAGATCAATTAAATAGAAATGCTTTGTTTTATTCCCTCAAATCTCTCGCTGGACATTAGTTTCTGGCAAAAAGTCTGTTGGGGAATGGAAAATAATGATTTTTCTAGCCTTTAAATCTTGCATCAGGAACCGTTCTAAGGTTAATAGTGTCTCTAATGAGACATTTGGAAATAAAAACCGTGATTAAATTATTTTTAAGAGCTAACAATTCTCTAAAGATGTGCTTCTATGATAAATTAGGTGAGATCAAGTCGTTATGTATTTAACTATACAGCTCCCTTCTTCCCATCCTGACTTTCTGCCAAAGAAGACCACTCTCTTATTGATCTGCCCTTAGCAGTCCATTACATAGAGTACAAAAACATATAGTGTTCCCAAAATGAATGCAAATTATTAGTGAACATTCATTGTGGAAGGTGTGGGTCTTTCCGGGAATGACCTGCACTGTATGGGGCCCATTTGGCAGGGAAGGGGGTGATTTGACTCCACCTGATCCATCTGGGTCTATGAGCTCCAAAATTCAACTCTTGGGTAGGAAACCAATATAATGGTCTTCTAAAGCCAAGTAGCATTCTCAACTTGAGTTAGGATGGCTTTTGATGCAACTTGGTTGCAACTTCAGTTCAATTTTGCTCACTCCTGACTTCAAATGTGTGAGTAATCTCAGGACTTGCCCTGTGGCAGGGCTTGGGATCTTAGCACCCAGGAGACTCCACAGAACTCTCTAAATTTCATTGCCTGTCAACTTTGTGAGCTGCAGAGCATCTCCTTTGCTCTTTAGTGTTACCTCTGGCTCTCTGCACTAGGATCTTTTCTCCCCCCTGTGGTCCTGCACCCATCATTGGCAAGAGCCGCCCTGCCTTGGCCAAGGTCTGGAGTGTCTCAGAGGGATTTCAGTCAGCTCTCCTCTTCTGTCCAACTTCAGCACATTGCCCCTCTCCACTCAGTGAAGGCTGGGACCAAATGGTGGTAGGAAAGCGCAACTCACTCTGTAACTGGCTTCTTCGGGATCCCAATCAGTCAAGTCAGCCCACTCCTGGCCAATTCCTCTTCCTTCTGTCATGCCTCCAAAAGTGAAAGCAACTGCAAATCTCCACTCTCCTCAGAGGGATGGTCTGGATTTTAGTGCATTTGGATTTCTTTGTATCCTCAGCAATCAAATAGGTTTTACAAATACTTTTTTTGTAGTTTATATAGTTTGTTGATGTTATCTTGGTGATGGGGAGGAGATCAATATCTCATGCTTTTCTACCTCCTTACTAGAAGTGAGAGCCCCCAGTCTCCCATCTCTGATTTTTTACAGTGCAAGGAAATTCCATGCCGTACTGCTCTGTTCACAGGGATGTGAATCATTCCTTTATCTAAGGTATCACCTGACATAATCACAAGAAGATGGGTGAGTGGAGTACAATAAGCTTCGTGTGTGTGTGTGTGTGTGTGTGTGTGTGTGTGTGTGTGTGAGAGAGAGAGAGAGAGAGAGAGAGAGAGAGAGAGAGAGAGGGAGAGAGAGAGAGGGAGAGAGAAGGAGAGAAAGGGAGAGAGAGAGAGAGGGAGAGAAAGGAGAGAGAGAGAGAGGGAGAGATCCCAAAGAAGCCAGTTACAGAGTGAGTTGCACTTTCCTACCACCATTTGGTCCCAGCCTTCACTGAGTGGAGAGAGGCAATGTGCTGAAGTTTATCTCTTATAAACTCCTTGAGGACCACCAGGGACTGTTTCTATGCAGAGAATTAGATAAAACACTGCAAATTGGGGCAAATGCCATGTGATGGGAAAGACAGTGATGATGCATTGAAACTTGGCAAGGACAAGACTAGCTGGAGAGCAGCAACTTAGAAAGATATCAGAGCACTCAACAAGAAAACTCTGGTTTAGGTCCAGGTCTGCTGCTTCATAATTGTGCAGCCTTGGATAAGTTAATCCCTGAGACCTCTCTTTTCTTATTGGTAAAAGAAGGTGGTTTCAAACTCATAGCCAATGGAGGCAGAAAGTGAATTGGCTAAATATGGATGATGGTGATTCAAAGAGTAAATTGTTCCATTAAAGGGCCCTGCTGCTTAGCTCTGAGTGTGCCATGCAAAGGTCAGCGCCTAGAGTTACCAAATCAACCAGGTGCAAGTAAGCTAGAACTTAAATAAAATGATTCCATTTTTAAAAGCTATTATTTGGCCCAAAAAGCATGGATCTTGTCAGGGTATAGTCCACATAATGCAGAGGTTTTGTTGTTGGGTTTGTGTGTGTGTGTGTTTGTGTGTGTTGTTTGTTTTTTGTTTTTGTTTGTTTGTTTTAATATATTTTACTGATTTTTTACAGAAAGAAAGAGAGAGGAATAGAGAGTTAGAATCATCGATCAGCTGGCTCTTGCACACCCCCTACTGGGGATATGTCCGCAACCAAGGTACATGCCCTTGACTGGAATGGAACCTGGGACCTTTCAGTCCTCGGACCGATGCTCTATCCACTGAGCCAAACCGGTTTTGGCTGGGATTTAGTTTTTACAGGAGGAGTATTCAATGCCAAATCACCGTCTTCACATTCCTAATAAGGGTGTTATACCAAGTAACAACAGAGAATGGAAATGGATTTGATAACCTACCAGGGAGAGAGATTCTGGGGTTTTGGAATGAGAGATTTAAGAAAGAAAAGAACAAGGGGAGGGGAAGAGGGGTGGTAGAAAGATGATAGAGGAAAGCACATGTTAAGAAAGATTAGAGCTATAAAATAATCTGACATTTCCCCTCTTCCTTTTATACAATAAACACTCTTCTCAAAACTGCACATAAACATTTCCTAAGGAGGCCCTTGTGATCCATTCATTAGAAGCATAGGTGGAAAAAATTTATCATAGCAGGGCACTTATTTCTAAAAACTATAAATCCTTGCTAGGTAGCCACAGCATATGATTTACAGAAAATGTGAGTTTTGTGAAATAAAAAGAAGTAATGACTGTGTAAAACACACTCAGTGTCATTATTCCTTTCAGCACAAACCTTACAGCATTAGATCACTGTGGTAGTGGGTAATTGGATGATTTTTCTGCTCTTTAAGGTTAAGGAATATAGAGAAACCCCCCTTTATCTATGGTGTATTTGTCTAAAAACCCCAGTAGATGTTTGAAACCATGGACAGTACCAAACCTTTACATAGTACTGTTTTTCTTATACATACCTATAATAAAGTTTAATTTATAAATTAGGCATAGTAAGAGATTCATATAATATAATTAAAAAGAATAATTATAACAATATACTGTAATATATATGTCTTTGTATTGATATCAGAGAGGAAGGGAGAAAGAGAAAGATAGAAATACCAATAATGATCAGCTGCCTCCTGTAAGATGTGCCCTTGACCGAAATTAAACCCAGGACCTTTCAGTCCACAGGCCTACACTCTAGCCAAACTAGCTAGGGCTCCCACTCCCTTTCCCTCTCTCTCCTCTC